ATGGTGACAATGACACAGACATGTTCACTGAGTCCAATACATGGTAACAATGACGACAGACATGATCACTGAGTCCAAAACATGGTGACAATGACTACAGACAGACATTCGATGTGTTGTCGATAGACAACACATCGAATGTCTATCGACAACGCATCGAATGTCTATCGACAACGCATCGAATGTCTATCGACAACGCATCGAATGTCTATCGACAACACATCGAATGTCTATCTCATTGTCACCATGTATTGGACTTATAATCATTGTCACCATGCATTGGACTTATAGTCATTGTCACCATGTATTGGGCTCAGTGATCATGTCTGTAGTCATTGTCACCATGTATTGGACATAATAGTTCTTATGCCGCTTTTTCACATCGAATTTCGGCATCTTTAGCCTGGGGTATCGTTGATGCCGTTTTGCATGTGGGTACCTTAGAATATGCCCAGTTGTGGTATAGATGTGAAAAAGCGGTATAAGAGCTATTATGTCCAATACATGGTGTCAATGACTACAGACACTGAGACCAATACATGATGACAATGACTACAGAAATGATCACTGAGTCCAAAACAGGGTGACAATGACTACCATACATGATGACAGTGAAAAAGCGGCATAAGATCTATAACAATATGCCATGGCATGTTCAGAGAAAAAATAACGATTATGTACCAAAAATCGAAATGATGCCCAGTGGGTATCTTTAGCCTGGGGTATTGTTGATGCTGTTTTACATGTGGATACCTTAGAAGATTCCCAGTTGTGGTATAGATGTGAAAAAGTGGCATAAGACCTATAACAATATGCCATGGCATGTTTAAAGAAAAAATAACGATTATGTACCAAAAATCGAAATGATGCCCAGTGGGTATCTTTAGCCTGGGGTATTGTTGATGCTGTTTTACATGTGGATACCTTAGAAGATTCCCAGTTGTGGTATAGATGTGAAAAAGCGGCATAAGACCTATAACAATATGCCGTGGCCTGTTGAAAACGAAAAAAATAACGATTATGTACTGAAATTCGAAATGATGCCCAGTGGGCATCTTTAGCCTGGGGTATCGTTGATGTTGTTTTACATGTGGATACCTTAGAAGATGCCCAGTTGTGGTATAGATGTGAAAAAGCGGCATAAGAACTATTATGTTAGGTACATTTGAATATCAAACTAGCCCAATATTGCGCCAGCCCAAAATTCGACCAGTCCAGTATTGGGCTAGCCCAATATTGAATAAGTAACCAACTTCACGCTGGTCACTTATTAATGATATTTATTGAATGTATGACTTAAATGTAATTAAGTGTGTGTTATTTGGTGCCTATGTGTATTTGATATGATTTTTGGTAATATAAATATGTTCGCATTTTCCAGTTTAAAGGTAATCTTCAAATAGGAGAAAAGAAAGCTGTAGATGAGCTTTGACGCTCTTTGAAGTATCGCCAATAATAATTACGAAGATTAATCAAACTTCTACCACATTCTCAGTAAATTGAATTGATTGACTGCACTCTTTATTAGACATTCCTCAGGGCCTTTGCATTTCATAACGTTGTGATCGTAATTGTAATTATAAAAAATAGTAATAAAATGATTTCTTTAATATTTCAATAACACAAAAAAGGAGAAAAACAATGCATTTGTTTTGTACGAAACCGTGTTATATATCCTACACTACATACGATAACGCCTGATTCCACCGCCAAACAATTCAATCAATGTATGCACTAGGAGAAAGAAATAATACTTTCCAGTTTCTGAGATTTTCCTGAATATTTATGGATTTATATCGACACAATCGAGACATCTCCTCCAAACGATTCACAAGAGAGTGGAGAGGTCCTTATACCACACTTGACGTATCCGATAACTTGAGGATGACCTTCTCAGCGTGTATGTGATAAATCAGACACGTTCTGTCTATCCGACACACTACTGGTGTTGACGTTTGGAGTCCAATAACATCTAATTGGGAAGGACTGATTGAGGTGTCCCCTGGACGGCGAAGTTGGCATGCAGAGCGCGTGACTGTCGTAGAGGGGTGTTGGGAAACGTGTCCTTATATAGACCGGACCGATTTATTTCGAGCTCCGTTTGTACTACCATGATCACGGTGTTGTGGAGTGAGTTGTTACATTCACGATAGTGTTATGTCTTATAACGAACGATACAACGGTTTGAATTGAAAGTAAAACATCAAGATATAAGGATGCATGCTATATAAAAAGACACTAACAGATGGTAGAATATTCCACCTTACTGTATAATGACCGCGGTACCTGCCTGTTAATGTCGTGCTTATTGGTGACAAAACCAAAATCTAAATTAGCACCTTCACATGAGACAGAAGGTGTAATGTGTGCTGTTCAGCTTCAAATAAACTAATGCACAGTTTTTACATGCTATTTTGTAACTGATAATAGACAAATAATTTGGCAATTACGTTTTACTAGCCCAACACTATTATTTGAAATTGAGTGTCTTAAAGGCTATGTGTCAATAGTAGGTGGCATACTTCCTATGTTTAAGTAGACTAACTGAAACTGCCATGTTGATATTTTGTCATCTACGTGAAGTAATATTATAACATTAAATTCGTGTACAAGATCTACCGTTGGATAAGCAATGGTGTATTGATGTTCTATAGAAGGTACTCTGTGGTACATTGTACTGAAATAGATATTATAAACATAACATGTTTCTTCATAAATTTCAGTTCGTGTGAGCACGTGATTTAAAATCCCTAACAGTATTTTTACATCATAACAGGTGCTAAAGGTTGTGTAGTAAACGCTGTCACTGTTGTCTTGAGTTCCTGGTTTAGTCAGCGTTTGTTGTGTTTGTGATATCTTTACGGTTCTTTTGTTGTCTCTCCTCAGGTTCTGTTGTTGTCTCTCCTCAGGTTCTTTTGTTGTCTCTCCTCAGGTTCTTTTGTTGTCTCTCCTCATGTTCTTTTGTTGTCTCTCCTCAGGTTCTTTTGTTGTCTCTCCTCAGGTTCTTTTGTTGTCTCTCCTCAGGTTCTTTTGTTGTCTTTCCTCAGGTTCTTTCGATATCTCTCCTCAGGTTCTTTTGACGTTTCCTAATTTTCTGATGTCTTTCATTTCGACTTGATTTATAATTTTGTACTTATGATCTGACGCTGTAAACTATATTTCTTTTATTCTAATCTAGACAATGCGTACTCATACTGATAAACACTTACTATAATGGGATGCTGATGATAGAATTACTAGCACTGCATAATATCTTTATTTAGCGGAGGTTTCATTCTAGATTTATTCGCTGCTTGAACAATTGCACGAAATATAAATCTCAAATATCCTCGCCTGTTTGAGGCAGCGTAAGCTAGGACTGTTGTAGTGTCTATTAACAGTGTCATAACAATTTAAAGACATACTATGTTCCAGAAACAAAACAGCGATAGTTAAAATCCCGCTAAATCTAAGTGCTATATGATATTGTTAACAAAAACATCGGTGTTCCAAGAACAAACTAATGCCATACTTTACTTGACACAGTACATAGCCAATTGTCATCATAGCAAACGTTTCTATGAAAAAAATATAACGAAATTTGGCGTTTAGATTCCACGAATGAATTCATCCTGCGATTCTCAATCAGTAAAGTCCGACCCCCCCCCTCCCCGAGAAGAACATGCTATTTTGACGTCATATTTGCTTCACAATTATTTTTTCTTATTAAAAGTAAAACATAACAGACACATTGTACTAAAATCACAACGGGTTTGCGAGAATTAAATCGTTTTTGAAGAAAAAAACCGAACACATCATTTTCGTGACAACACATCGAATGTCTATCGACAACACATCGAATGTCTATAGACAACAGATCGAATGTCTATCGACAACACATCGAATGTCTATCGACAACACATCGAATGTCTATCGACAATACATCGAACGTCTATCGACAACACATCGAGTATCTATCGACAACACATCGAATGTCTATCGACAACACATCGAATGTCTATCGACAATAAAACTCTTACCGTAGATTGCACTTTAGACCATATTGAGGGCGATGTGTTAATATGTGTTCTTATGTAGGGATTCCCAAATACGTATTCACATAGACATTAGTAATTCATATGTATATATTTCCCTCGTATATCACTCCTAACAGAAAAGGAGTTTCTTTGCATAACTTTTATCGATGGTATACTATGCCACTTAGCCTGATGAATGTCGTATCTGGAAACAACTTCTCTTCAACCAATACATACTATATATATCATATCGGCACCATCGGGCTATGTGAAAGAATGATAGTGTCTGAGCGACAAGGTCCTATCACGGACAGCAGAGATTGATACCTGCAACAAGCCCATAAGTAGTATTTAATGTGCTGATTCTACAGAACAGCGACATGCTCTTACCCCCAGGTCGTACTTTTAACAGTTACTTGTATCTTTAATTTATCACCACAGCTTTTCTTTCCCGAAAAGTGCTAATATATGCGCAGGCTTGGCGAATCGAACGACTACCACACAGGAACTATAAAAAAGACACTGCAAAATCAAGCTACTTCGCTGTTTTCTCTCTGTAGGTACAGTCTGTACATTGTAAGTAATTGCCACAGTGGCCTGATGCTACTTATAGAGCATTATACACAGAGCCAGTAATGGGTGTGCCAGAACGTCATGATATATAATAAATGCTTACTTACAGACTATAACAACAATCTTTCAATACGCAAGCAAAAGAAAGACTAGGGTTCGAAATTAGTATAATGCGCTCATGTACTTTGAGAAGATAAGGTTGCAGCAAGTTATCTTAACAGTACTATACGAGAGTATGTTCCGTTTATTTCTGAACATTAAAATATTTAAATGAATATCATATAATTAAAATCACTTGTTGTGAATTCGTTTTCTTTGGTCGAACGAAAATGCTTTCACATTTGCCATACCACCTCCAAAAACCTCCTGCATCGTTGAACGATATAGTAAAAAAACGACGCAGTGTGTTGGTATCCAAGCTTTATTTCAATGTTTAGGGTAACGATATGAGTTAAACAAGTGTATGATAATGTTTCAATATCTTAATAACAATATTAGTACCGGTTTTATATAAAATGTCATGTATTTGCTATGGTAACCGTTAGAAATCTACACCATCCATCCATTTTATGCATGTTAAATCACAGTAAAATGAATAAGTGTAAAATGAATAAGTGTAAAATGAATGAGTAAAACATAATATCATAAAAGATATCCTGCTTATGACGAAATTATATTTTTTCCGAAATTCTGTTTACACATCTTTAGCATCAACATACTTGCTATTAATCGGATACCAAAATCTACAGGTGTGCAGTTCGTAAGCTATCACCACCAACAAGTATATTGCTGTTTGGTCAGCAACTCCAACATGTTTGCGATTCATTGGTTATCAACACCAACAGGTCTGTGGTTCATTAGTTGATAGTGCCAACAGGTCTGCGATTCATTGGTTATCCACACCAACAGGTCTGTGGTTCATTGGTTGATAGTGCTAACATGTCCGTGATTCATTGGTTATCAACACCAACATGTCTGTGGTTCATTAGTTGATAGTGCCAACAGGTCTGTGATTCACTGGTTATCATCTCCAACATGTCCGCGATTCATTGGTTATGAACACCAACAGGTCTGTGGTTCATTGGTTGATAGTGCCAACAGGTCAGCGATTCATTGGTTATCAACTCCAACATGTCTGTGGATCATTAGTTGATAGTGCCAACAGGTCTGTGATTCATTGGTTGATAGTGCCATTAGGTCTGTGATTTATTGGTTATCAACTCCAACATGTCTGCGATTCATTGGTTATCAACACCAACATGTCTGTGGTTCATTGGTTGATAGTGCCAAAAGGTCTGTGATTCATTGGTTATCAACTCCAACATGTCTGTGGATCATTAGTTGATAGTGCCAACATGTCTGTGATGCATTGGTTGATAGTGTCATTAGGTCTGTGATTCATTGGTTATTAACTCCTACATGTCTGTGGATCATTGGTTGATAGTGCCAACAGGTCTGTGATTCATTGGTTATCAACTCAAACATGTCTGCGATTCATTGGTTATCAACACCAACATGTCTGTGGTTCATTGGTTGATAGTGCCAACAGGTCTGCGATTCATTGGTTATCAGCACCAACAGGTCTATGGTTCATTAGTTGATAGTGCCAACAGGTCTGTGATTCATTGGTTAGTAGCACTAACAGGTATGTGGTTCATTGATAAGTAGCACCAACAGGTCTGTGGTTCATTGATTATCAACACCATCAGGTCTGTGGTTCATTGGTTAATAGAACCAACAAGTCTGTGGTTAATTGGTTAATAGCACCAACAGGTCTGTGATTCATTGGTTAATATCACCAACAGGTCTGTGATTCATTGGTTAATAGCACCAACAGGTCTGTGGTTCATTGGTTAATAACACCAACAGGTCTGTGATTTATTGGTTAATAGCACCAACAGGTCTGTGGTTCATTGGTTAATAGCACCAACAGGTCTGTGGTTCATTGGTTGATATCACCAGCAGGTCTGTGGTTCGATTTGGTACAATTCTACAAACAATTACCTGTAGGAGATGTTAATACACGAATTAATTTCAGATGTGATTCCTTTAGTCTAATGTGTTAGCCGTTCCGTATGCATCAGTTTTGAGAACAGCCACGATATCATAGCATGGCCAGAATGATTCTTGTCGACAAGAAAATATGGTTATTTCGTACTTCATTGTCATGTTAATAATATTTTATTTTTATTATTAAAAATATAAGAAATGTATTCTCCTGTGATATCAACCAAAGCCAGTATATATGACTATTTTCTTGTGATGACTGTGACATAATCTTTAAATGAAAACAATATAATCACGATATTTAGAGGTATTGTACCGAATCATACATTTCTTTTACGTTGACGTTTTCTACATCTCCTCAGAATATGGACTACTTTGTCATAATTGATTCAAATGTATTTTTTCACTTTGAATGTAATTTTTCTATCCTTTGTCAAAATAAGATGTAATTTTGCCTATTAAACATTTTTGTCATATGCGTTATGTTCTTCTAAAGGAACACGTACATCCCCCTTCAAGATAGTCTCTCTCGTACAAAGGGTTGCATTTTATTATGAAAATGAATACTTCGGATTTAAATACTTTAAAGAACACACAATGTCGATGATAGCCGTCACTAATACACCTTCCCTGAATAGTTATTTCGTGTATAACAAAAGATATGGACATGACAAGAATGTAAAACGAGTAACATTATATACACATATAATGAATTAGGTAATTGTTGCCATATATCACCGAAAACGTGTATATATTGCATATTAATTAAAACACATTCCAACATGTTACAACACGCAGTTTGTTCCTGCTTTAGTACTTCGTAAGAGATAAATGAAAAGGGGTAATCGTGGCGCCACCTGTTGAGTGATGCTACAATTAGGGGAATGTAAGCTGTACTTTCATCACCAAAGCGCTTATTAACAGCATGGTTTCTGTCATACTACCTTTTACATATATCAGCTCTTTTCTACATAATTCAATCATAACAAGTATTTTCTGGGCATCTCATTTAGTCTTATAACACTATATGCGTATGTGTATAACACAAGGAGAAACATCTAGCACACACCATTGTAATGCTAAAATGTTCCGAAATATTATGTTGTTAACCATCAGATATGCATATCTTCAATAAAGTTAATCAGTTTGGAAATATGTTATATCAAAGTTTTACTTTATACACAAACAATGTACGTATTAAACGTATCGCAACGTTTCAAGACCAACTGGTCCCTTTGTCAAGCTACGACTCAAGTAAAACGTTGACATATAATAAACAGGAGATGCATGCTTCATCATATTAAACATAAACATGTATAACTATGTATAACGGGTGCTACTATTAGTTATGTTAACTCTTTCTCTCTGTACTCTTCGAAAAACATTTTAATCACAGCAAAATAAAAAATCTGCATATTTATCTGACCTGATTATCTCACAAAGAGAATTACAATATAATCATATATGCAGAAAGTTCAAACTTGTTTTTGTTGAGTTGAAAATATCTTCACAACACCAAGGCTGGTAATCTTTTCTTCGGATATACGTTCTTTATCAAATTGCTTTCATCGTGATGCAAATACCTGTAAATGTACACATTAGGAATTAGAATGTGATACGAATCAAGTTTAAAACGTATTGTATGTGTAGACCCTGATGCTATGAAGATGTGCCCTAAGTTAGCATAGAAATGCATATTGAAACTGGGGAATTTGTTATATAGGCCAATTAGATACCAAGGTTGACGTTTGTTCAGATCGTCTTACGATTGGGAGGAATGTAATAGCGCTCGACTTTGTACAGGCCGACGAGTCCACACCAGCGCTGCCGTAGCCTGTCCGAGAACTCTTTAGCTTGGTTCAGGAAGTTCAGCCCTTCCTCACACTCACACAACACTAGGTATGAGAAGGGGTCCGTACATGTGGTCGTCCGAAGGAACGTAATCCGACGGATGTTTAATTGTTTTGGACACTTCCATAGAATGTAATTCGCTCCGCTCCATACTTTCCATATTTTCTCAAGATTTTGAGTCTGTTCTGTTGCCCTGAACGATGATAAAATGTACACACTGTCCTTGCTGACTGGCGTCCGAGGGAGCTGGCTTACGTCATTCCTGGCTATGCACTCCAACTCATCATAACAACCTGGAAATAATCAATAGTGAATTAAAAGACAATAAATACCGCTAATCATTCGTTTTCGAGTGTTGTTTTGTTCGCACTAAAACTCGAGAGAAAAGCCGATCGCGAAATAAAAAACCTCACAAAACATTTCAACAATGGATAAATAAATATTATTTGTATGTTTTGTGGATTAAAATCCAAGAGGCTAAGTCGCATAAAGCAAATTAGAAGAAATAGCTAAACGCTCACACTTCATGATATAACATAAATACGAATTAATTAGCTGACAAAATGACATTATTCATCCATGTTGTTGCCGAAAAAGGAAACTGTTCTTTTTATCCGTGTACTTGTCATTGTCGCCGAGACAGAGTTTTTGATTTTGGGATTGTTTTCAGGGTTTGAGTGTGAAGGTTAAACCTATGGTACCATCAGAACTTATTCCATGGCATCAAAGTCTGTATTACGAATCAAAAGTGTAGGAAACGTACAACTTGGTTATCTGAAGCATTAGTAATGATAGGTAGTCGATGAGTTGTAGTTAACATTAACTTACCACCAGGGTTTTTCAAAACATTCATGCATATCATCTACACATAACATTTTCCTTCGAGTATTCAATGTGCATCATTGCAACATCTGAATTTTTTATCGACGATATAGTTGCTTAGGAACATTTTTTAAAAGGTAAGAAAAGGAGTACATCGGTAAAGCAATTCAACTGAACGAAATTTCGCATAAAGGCACACATAATGACCAATTGTATTGCTATTGTGTAACAGACCGGTTCCTTGAAGACAGTACCAGTACGAGAAACCTAGTAATTTTTAATCTTTTATTTTACGTAGTCGTTTTTCTATATTATCTAATTAACTATATAATGACAAAAAAGCTGTAATATTTTGATATAGTTATCAGTTGGTTTTGTGAACAAAACTAAAATTCCTATTTTCCAATAATATAAAATGTGCCTTTGATTTAATATCGATTCGAACCAATCATTCAGAAGGGCCACCGATATTACAACACACCTCGGTAGTGTTATGTTAATGGCAAGCATTAGATATGTGTATGTATATATAAGTCACAATGACGCCTACGTCAAAGGAGAGTTTTGTATAAATTGACACCGACCAAACACTGTGTAAAGAGGTACAAACGAGAGAGGAAATAAACCCGTTTTCAAATCGTGGGACGTCCAGTTAGTAGATCATGTTTAACATTTCCCCATGTTGTTTCTGTATTCATTCTTATTTCTGTGACACTGCTGTGCATTATTTTATTCTCATACGTACACCTACTATTTAGGGCGTTTCTTACTTGTCAATGGTTGCGTCAAATTCTTTTGAATATGTTTACCTTAGCCTATATTTTTGGAAAAAAATATATAAAAAAAGTTCACAGGTTTTGTACTTGCAATAGTATATTAAGTTCCCAATAGTAAAGAAAATCACAATTTCATAACATTCTTTTTCATTACTTAGATAAATCAGGTACCGTACAGTGGTTGCTTTATAATATTTATTGAGTTATTAACTAATATTTATTACTGTACGTACCCTTTACATTAACAACAGTGCTCCGTGACGTATAACATAGTATGAACATATCAGAACCTTGAATTATGTATCTTTAACATTAACAACATTACTGTGTGACGTATACGAATATGTACATAGTAGAACCTTAAATTACGTACCTGTTACATTAACAACAGTGCTATGTGACGTATAACATAGTATGTTAACAACAGTGCTCTGTGACGTATAACATAGTATGTTAAGAACAGTGCTCTGTGACGTAAACGAGTATGAACATAGCAGAACCTCGAATTACGTACCTTTTATATTTACAACATTACTCTGTGACGTAAACGAGTATGAACATAGCATAACCTTGAATTACGTACCCTTTATATTCACAATATTACTCTGTAACGTAAACGAATATGAACATAGCAGAACCTTGAATTACGTACCCTGTATATTTACAACATTACTCTGTAACGTAAACGAGTATGAACATAGCAAAACCTTGAATTACGTTCCCTTTATATTTACAATATTACTCTGTGACGTATACGAATATAAACATAGCAGAACCTTAAATTACGTACCTGTTACATTAACCCCAGTGCTCTTTGACGTTAACGAGTATGAACATAGCAAAACCTTGAATTACGTTCCCTTTATATTTACAATATTACTCTGTAACGTAAACGAGTATGAACACAGCAGAACCTTGAATTACGTACCCTGTATATTTACGATATTACTCTGTGACGTAAACAAGTATGAACATAGCAGAACCTTGATTTACGTACCCTGTATATTTACAATATTACTCTGTGATGTAAACGAGGATGAACATAGCAGAACCTTGAATTACGTACCCTTTATATTTACAACATTACTCTGTAACGTAAACGAGTATGAACATAGCAAAACCTTGAATTACGTTCCCTTTATATTTACAATATTACTCTGTGACGTATACTAATATAAACATAGCAGAACCTTAAATTACGTACCTGTTACATTAACCCCAGTGCTCTTTGACGTTAACGAGTATGAACATAGCAAAACCTTGAATTACGTTCCCTTTATATTTACAATATTACTCTGTGACGTAAACAAGTATCAACATAGCAGAACCTTGATTTACGTACCCTTTATATTTACAACATTGCTCTGTGACGTAAACAAGTATGAACATAGCAGAACCTTGAATTACGTACCCTGTATACTTACAACATTACTCTGTGACGTAAACGAGTATGAACATAGCAGAACCTTGAATTACGTACCTTTTATATTTACAACATTACTCTGTGACGTAAACGAGTATAAACATAGCAGAACCTTGAATTACGTACCTTTTATATTAACAACATTACTCTGTGACGTATAAGATAGTGTCAATATAGCAGAACTTTGCATAACGTTCTTTTCGAGTGCAACACGTCGTTATTTTTACCATTGCGGTCACCTGTTGTTATGTAGAAATTGAGTAAAATAAGCTTGGGATTGTGTCATCGTTCTAACTCGCAAGCCAATTTTTCTCACATCATTAAGAGGTTAGCTTTTCAATTTTCAAAATTTAATCAGCTATCATTGTTTAAACGGCGAATTAGTTATACGACCACGCGCATTAATGTTTTCTGTTAGGCATTTCAAAACCGATAAAGCCGTCGGGAGTTTTGTATTGCTTAATTTGCTCTTAACTGTTGGATTGGTAAGGCGTTGGAGCTACAAGTAAAACTAATACCCTTATTATGTCTTGATTAAATTCCGAAAATAGCTCTTTGATTTTTTTTAATTGAGTAGAACCTTAATGCGAAGTAACAACAATGGAATGCAAGCGATACATTTCTATTACCGAAACAGCAATGAATAAACACAGGCTCAGAGGTACTTGAACAGTAAATATACGCATTGAAATAGCAAACATTAGAGACTGTCTTTATAAACATCCCTATTAGACTTGAGTCCCTCTGCCCAGTGTATCCACACCTTTATTCATACACTGTATTCATCTATTTGTATATATGTTTAGTCCACCTCTCTCCATAGACAGGAGGCACTTACTTCGTGTACAATGATTTATTCACTTCGACCCAGATGTGTGCCATGTGGTAACAACACTCCTCGTTTCAATTGTGTTTCATTCACCCAAGGATGCTCAAGACGTACAATATAATAAAACCCCATATCCTTTCGCAAGAAACGGTGTTTGCCGTATGTTGATTCGTTCTCCTCTACCCCAAGGGGTAAAATATTTTTCGTTTATTCCATGTTCTTATCCCTAGAGGGATACACTTGAAAATCAATCCAATTCCCTTTTGATGCTTAATATTAACTCAAGTCGAAATCCCATCAACTTTTGTTGACGAAGGACAACGAACACCGCACCATGGCAAAACTGAAGGCCAAGTGAACTATAATTAAAGTATCGTCCTCAATAATTAGACAACTCGCACTCGAAAATCGAATATAATCAACATTGAATTGTATAATGACCGAGCGCCTATAAATTTACACACGTCAATAGCACTGACTAACAAATCAACTTTGGGTTATGTCACCCCTCCTTGCAATACGTTCTGTGAAATTCACAGATTATTACATTTCAAAATGTTAAACTCGATATTTGTTAAAAGTCACCCGTTATATTAAAAGAGTATGTGATAACATCTTTAAATATTGCCCATGTAATACTGACCTGGTTCACTCACCCTCCTCGGGGGTATATCTGTAGAGTACTGGTGGTTCTGTACCCGCAGCACGTTATTGACCGGAAGTGACGTGTTCAGTCCCTGGAATGTTACATTGTCTGACGTTCTGATCCCGCCATAAAACACAGAGTAGTCGACATACAAAAATGGCGCTGCAATAAAGACAGAAAATAATAACATTTAACGAGAGTTCTTTCCTAGTAATTATACATTATTTCCCTTAAATTGCACTTTTGCTACCTCGTAAACATAACGCCTAATAAATATTCATTATTTAACATTGTTTGACGCAAAAAAGCAATAGCAAATTTTAGCTTGACATTTAAAGTTCCCAATTCAATTCCTCCCTCGTGGAAATGCTAGTGTATATTTAGGAAGCATGTGTGCTAGTAGGCACTTAGCAGGCCCGTGTTCCTGCAATTTCTTGTCACTTATTATGTAAGTAATATGGGTCCTTCCAGAGAGCATCGCTGGCATTGCGCCATCAACTTCTCTTTTGTTGCAAACGGCAACTCCCGTAGATAAATAATCCTGTTAAATAGATCTACTTAAAACCAAGCCATCACACAACGTACTATGTCTTCTTGTACAGCCAAAGTCATTACAATGGCGCCCCATATATCAATACTCCCCCGAAACAGGATTCACGCTAAATTGTCATTATTCTATTGCATGTAAATGTAACATTTTTATTTTTTTAAAATTCGCATCGCGAACAACGAACAATTGAGTTTTCATACAAAAAGTGTGAAGAACTTCTTACTGTACATGGTAGGTGTATTACAACTGATTTTCTTTATTACCTATTTGTTGAAGTCTCGCAGGGAATATTTAAACTAATGAAATATATCAGACAACCAACCTTTAGAGCAGTGTTATTATTTTTAAGACATTACAGCCATTGTTATATCGAAAAAGATGTAATTACTCGCAAATAACGCATATGATATAATTTCATACATTCGCTATACAATAAACAAGTCTTTGATAAAGAAATATGATATTCTTTAGAGGTAACGGACAAATTATTTTATAACGTAGTACTAAACCGTCTTGACGTGAAATCATGCTTCACCCACACGTAACAAATAAGACTTGGTAGCTAAGTAGAATAAACATGTATGATATACTAAGTCTAGGTATGGAATACAGAAACATAAGGCTTGTGTGCAGCTATCTCTAATGGGACCACGTGTTTAACAGCAGTATCTAAATGTTGAATGATCTTATCGATCCTTGCTGAAAGTTGCATTTTCTAGTGCAAGTAACTATCTTCAGGATAAACTCAATTCATATGATGGGTGCGATGGGCTTTATTTTAATTCCGTATATTTACCAAGCAATATTTTGATTACATTTCTGTGGCTATAAATATTATTGTATAAAGTCGACGCCATAAGATGATTAAGGTCGTTGGTGCTTTCATCGCATGGACTCTTCTCTAATGGTATTGTATCCATATAGAAGATTAAAATGTCTACCATTGCTACATGGAGACTGAATTAAGTGTTAACGCTTCGCCCCGACATTACTCAAGGGCCGAGCCATATGTTGATATAAGAACGAAATAAAGTGGTTCAAAAGTTTAATGCTGATGTAATGTGTGAAACCATTGTCCTGACGTTGACATGAATAAAACGAAGCAACTCGGTGCCACTGGGAGTAAATAAGTAGATCTATTTTAATCATGCTATGTAAGGAAAGTGCATGTTCCGTCTCCCAATTAAGCTATTTCCCATCGATGAAATTTTCACTCACTAAGAATAGATTGGTTATTAGATGTGTTCACGGAATTTAAATCAAATGTACTAAAGGACTACGACACTTAAAAAGTACTTGAAAACCGCATGGATCGGTTTGCTCTATGCATATAAATGACGAAATCAATGACGATAATCATAAATAAAGCTTAATTCAGAAATGTATTCCCCAAAGCATTAGGCGCATGCTATTGCGTGTGTACTAAAGACTGATCAATCATCTGTCGTTACATATGGCGACATCGAATGGTCAGCCATCTTAAGTGGAAATATTATCTGTCATTTCATGAGAAAAGACAATTTACTGTCGTCTTCGATTTTTAACCAGATCACTACGAAAAACTGAAAGACAGACGAAAATGAGAGACAGAATTGACCAGAAACCGACAAACACTATAACTGTCGTCAGTCATTACTTATTGAATATTTGACGTAATAATTGAATTTGGAACCAAAGCTTAATTAATAAGATTTACATATATATCTTATATATACAGATATCGTACATGTATCACAAAAAGTTATTCAATACGCATGGTCACTTTCCCTTCCAATCGTTGGTTGGTTGATTGAACAGGGTTAAAGTCAAGGTCGTTCCTCTATGTGCAAGAAGCGGTATGTTACGAGGAATATGTGCCTCCTTGTGATACCGCAGATCTCATTCCGACGTTATAGTACTATCTCACTGAACTTCCACGCCAAAGGCACCCAGTACATCATCCCGCCCGGTTGTATAATACCATTCTTTCAGGACTTTGGTATGTCGTGGCATCGGGAGAGAACTTATTGCCTTCCCCTCCTGAGCTAATGTTCACCATTAAAGCCAAAAGTAAGGTATTGCCAAGCAAGGCACGGGGAAACAAAATGTAGTTAGAGGTAGAGAGAAATACAAAGATCCAAACTATTTGGAATGGGTACAGCATATTTAATTTGGTAGTTTTTGTGTCCCCTTAGTAGAGGGCACATTAGTCGCCTTATAATCATGCAGCGGGCTACACCAGGTGTAATCTTTTCTCATTCCCAGTCCCTTGAAGTCGATAGAACCAAATATATTTCTCATGATAGTTTGTTTTCTGCCTATGAAAGCAAAGACATCTGTTGTGTTTTTTGTAATACTCGCAGTGAAAAACGGTTATACACTGCCACATATATTGGACAAATATTATGCGACCTTGTAGACGCATCTGCAAACAATATTGGCGACAACACTATTTAAGGTATTGCTCACATAACACCAAAATAAATTTGCTGCGTCCATTGCAATATGTAGGATCTTTATATTTCCCTCTACCTCTTACTACCTTTTTTTTGTTTTTGTGCTAGGTGACTTCGGCATGGTATTTCAGTGAGATAGCACTATATAGATGGCCAATTAAGTCAAAGACAAATATGCCAAAACTGAACAAATGAATTGGTAATAGCAAAGCTAATAAAATCGTCTCCGGTCCACAACCAACAACGAGGGACAGGCACGTGAAAGCTACAACATGTGCATTCTATGAAAAATAACATGACGCACTGTGATGTTCGCTAATTACGAAGCAAACTAGAAAATATCATAGACATAAAATTGAACCCAACAAATATTAATTAGCAGGAATCGTGGAGACATGAAACAAAAGGAAAGACATATAAATAACCCAGAACCCAGAAACGAAACAAAACAAAGCTATGTCTCAGGGAGATAGCATGGGAAAAACCTATCAATTGGTTAAGGATATTTATGATTATTTTTCATATCTATTTATAGATAAAAAAAATAATGCAGATCAAATATATAATACCTAAACACATTCATAAGAATTTACAAACTAAGATACAACTAATTGATGTTAAACTGTTAACCAACTTCTATTGTATATAACACGTGACTATATGCTTCATCTATATTTACTGATTATGACACTGTGCCATTTATGACTTATGTGTATTACATAACACAACAGTCTATTCACGCTGGTATGTAGGTAATGTATTTACCAGCGAGCGCCCTAGTAATCGGCCTATATCTCACAAACCTCTTAAGAATATCGTAACATCCCACTTCAAAGACTAACAGTACTCTGAGAACATGATCGCCACACTTTCCTACAATATAATATCAATTTATAACATACTTTCCGGGTTAGGATGAAATGAGATATTACATAACAAGACACGTGTTTATAAGCCATACTAATATCTTCGTCTCTGCACCATAAGCTACATTATTGTCTTCGTCTATCGACTGGTATATATCCCGCTTCATTACAACTATATAGTTATATACACCGTCATCTATCGTAAGGTAACCCTAGCAGGATACATTGATTACATACACAACCAGGTGTATCAATTCAGGTAATTCAATTGAAATTGATTTTACAGTAAAATGGATCGCATAACAGGTATAACAACTATATATTTTTGTGATACCAAATATATTGTAAAATTAATTGATTTAAAATGATATATGAAATTAAATAGATTGCAAACTGTAACTAACGTGAATAAATACACAAATATAAACCATAGCACGACAAACGACAAGCTCTCTGTGAACAAAAGTTGTGGCATATTTAAATATTTATGATGAGTAGAAGAGACATTTTTAATCTTTTGTGAGAATCTGACCTAATGTCCACGTGCATTTATCGATTCACAAATCGCTACTACTTAAAATGCAATACTAACACAGTAATATTCATATTAACGTCAACAATAAGGCAGTACAACTTGTTTTTTTACAAAGTTTAACAGCGTTTATATTTAAACACGGACCCTCCAGTCCATGGAATATTTATAGAAATATGTTCATATTTAACATAACATTTTTTGGACTGAACCATATATCAAATTCAGATCGTTTTGTTTTTCCTATAAAAATGAATGTGACTTAACATTTGCCTGTTTATATTCCCATTCACAGGTAACGCGGCATCGACGAAAAGTATATGTATCCTTGTTAGGCGTGCTAGCAATTTTGACAAAATAATGAAAACAACTGAATGACGTCATTGTAAGTAATCAGACAATGTCATAATGCATATGTTTCGAAACGATTTTTACATTATTTGATAGCACCACTGATGGGTTATATAAAGACGAAATGGCTGTATGGTGCCAATCGGCAAACCTCGGGTGGCTCCGCTACGCTCCATCATAGTGTTCGAGGAACAAGTAACACGAGGAGTTCCGAGTGCGTGTGATACAGTAAAATATTTACTTTGTTTGGCTTCGTATTTCTAGAGATTTTATTACGTAACAAGCCTTGCAGATATAATTGCTTCCAGCAAAGTTTACATTAAAAAACTTGTTAAGAGAATTAATCATCTGCCGTAGTCAGAAGATAAAATAAAGGATTTTATAAACACATTTTGCTGTAAACCCAGCGTATGTTTCAGAACACTTTTGACACAAATTTGCAGTCTTTTTACCCTATTGCTACTTAGATTCAGAAAAGGACGCATATGTCATGTAGTGTAATAAAACTTTACTTTGTTATAATTTCGTATCAACATACTTGCATGTCTTTATACAAACATTATTACTAATATTTTCAGTGACTATTTTAGATTTTCTTCAAGTTATGATTTTTGTGCTGATTTATTTCAAAATATGAGAGTAATTGGGTCAATAATAAAATACAGTAGTTATTAGGTATAGGTTCTTTCTACGCTTGATTTCAAAATACAGACAGTGGTTGTAAATACTTTGTTACGTAAAACATGTTCGAACCTACAATGTATTAAATATTATATTAACTATCCCAACAACTTTATGCAAATAACATCTTAAATATTCTGTACACCTAAACTTATTGTTTTTAGCTTGATATCCATGTGTCAGTAAGGACCGGTAAGTCAGTTGTCCTTTTGATATAACTAGGTGAAGTGTAATAATATTGGTTCTAGATGATGACACGTCAGTGGGATAGTATCCCCCCTCCCAATCTGAGGATACCGTCATTATAATATGACACTAACTGTTATAAGGCCGTAAAACCCCCTACAAACAAACTGATCCACACAAAGTGTTCGATATCATTGTTTCGTGCTGTACACAGACTGAGATACAACATGTTGTCTTGACAAAATATTTGTCCATGTTGTTCTCTTTTATCATGTTTAATGGAATTGGCTTTATGATACAATATTTCTCACTGTTTAAGTACATATCAGTAATGCCATGAATGGTTTTCCACGCGGCCAGCTGCAATATATTGAAATCCAATATAGCTCCTGGTTAATGAAATATACAACTGGGACGGTGTCTACAAGGATGAGTAATTAGGACGCAACACCGAATACAGGAAGAGGAAATGGTTTGTTATTTACTGCTGAATAGGTCATCAAACTAAACGGATTGCAGGGCTATCCGGAGGGAGCGTCATTTTGACATTATACAGATGAAAATATATCGATTTTAGAAACGGAAATTATATTGAAATATGTCATATAAATTCTAATTTACGAAATTACGTTTGACTGTTATTTCCAAATTTGATCCCTACTTTGGCAGTAATGTTTTCCTAAGGGAGGCAACATTTACTGTAATGATGAAGCATGGTGGTTTTCATCAATAGATCTTCCTCCTCAAAACGTAGTGTCGTCGAATCAAATGTTAGGTGCGCCATACTCCTCCTCACACCTCAGTAATTTACCTCCAGACCCCTAGCGTGGGCGAGGTATTAAATAGACACTGTAAAACCAGTTCTATATTAATTTTTTAACGATAAATGTACCATGTATGGTTACAATTTTATCATAAACCGAAGAGGATGTGGCAAACGCATTGTTAACTTATTCCCACGTTAGGAGGAGTTCAACAATATCAGCACGGTGACGCTTCAGGATGACCGCAGTGCGACACCTTTCATTATGGAAATAGTTTTGTGGATATTTTCGAGCTAATTTACCTTACTCAGTCGCTTTAATCGCGAATGATTCAACACCGTGACGATACAACTTTTACAGTTGTCTATTTTCTGAGCTATTTGTTTGACCAACTCGCTGTTGAGATAGAAATGTTTTTGCATTATACATTAATTCTTAATATCTTAGTTTTCTACTACAAGACAATCGTATACTCCAATATATCTTTTCATTTTTTGTGCACAACAGGTGTTAAAAGCGAAAAAAATAACATATAAAAAAACCTTAGATGTATCATGCATCAAAGACGTTCATCAGGAATATTTCATTTAAAATTCAAATTAGTAAATGATCTTTAAGTCATTGAATGTCCTTAATAAAGATTCGAGCTTACTCAGCAGTAGGAAATCGTATGTTGTAAATTGGTTTCTGTTTTTGATCACATTAGACATTTTGATACTGATGTTAACCTCTTTTGAGGTGTTAAAGGTGTTTTATATGATAATGGATCTAGCACCATACACGATAAAAAATTTAACAGTCATCCCCACTGGATGAAAGTTACTTAACAACATAACTCCTTGTAGTGAGTCGTGTTGTGTTATTATTTATACTATCGGAGACCATTAGTTACAAACTCATGTGTAAAGTATTCCACAGAACCTGAATTTTCTTAATTTTTCAGTATCGTGAATATACCTTTTTTTTTGTACAGCCCTTAGATAAACCTACAAACTCAAACTATCGTAATATTCCAATAACTGCAAGAACCATGTGAATGGTTTTCCATCGGAAACTTCTTAAATCGTTCTTACAGCTAACTACAATAAAAAATAGTTCTAAAATGCTGGTTAATTTGTGATTCTGACGAGGAAAACGCCACCGCAGGTGCTATGCGAGAAAATAATGGTACACAACGGAACATTTATTACAACGATGTTGTTGTTATAGTAAGAAATGTACACACACAATCTTAGGGTGCTACCCGATATTGATAATAAAACGCGCATGACTACATAACGAGATGGCTTTTTGTTTTAAGTGCTCTATTATACAACTTCCCGACAGGTGCTAAACATGGTTAAATAACGAAATACCAAGTTGTAAAATTCACCTTTCCAATTTCCAATCATGCTGTACAGTAAAAAGTTAAATTTTGATTACAAAATCGCAATTTGGCAATATTTACACTAAAACAAGATTCATGTTTACAGCAAGCTGCGTGACGTAATCGGTAACAGTCGTAACGTCATGATGTGTTAACGTCAACAGGTAATTGTTCACAAGACGACACGTAATTAACCAGTGTTCATGAGGGTATGTGGATCAGGTTAAGTCAGTCAATCCAACATCAGCTGGCACAAAACGGGGCGTTTAGGTGAAGGTCATAAGACAGTTCCTAGTGTAGGTTTTTATGGGCTGCCGGTAGTATATATAGAATGCTTGTGTTTCTGAAGAATGTGGCTTATGAGAGTAGCGTAAACCTAAGCATGTAGTGTCACCCGCTATTTCTTTGAGATTTTAATTACTTTCCAGCTCCTTCAATGTGTGAAAATGTATTGTACTGTATACACATTGTACGGTATACATCATAGTGTTGTACGGTATACATCATAGTGTTGTACTACATATTGTATATACATAACAGTGTCCTTCTATATTTATAGTAGTGTTGTACTGCATATTGTTAATACATATAACATTGTAGTGCTGTACTTAATTCACAATAATGCTTTACTATACACACAATAGTGTTGTACTATGTACATACTAGAGTTGTGCATTATACATAAAAGTGTTGTAATACATACGAAATATTGTTGTAAGTTAAGTTGATTTACCGATACAGGATCTATAAAGATCTTCTTCACTGGACTCAAAATCAGAACATTTATGTTTTACTATATACATAATAATGTTGTACTTTTTACATCATATTGTTGAACCACATATTGTATATAGATAACGATGATTTACTATATTCATAAAAGTGTTGTACTGCATATTTTTCATGCAAATAATGTGATAGTGTTGTAGTATATTCACAATGATATACTATACACACACTAAGGTCGTACTATGTACATAATGCATAGTGTTGTAAAATATTTGTAATAGTGTTTTACTATATACACAACAGTGGTATACTATGTGCATCATAGTGTGTAACTATATACACAATAGCGTTTTACTTAATCTTAATTTTTACTGTAGTGTTTTATTATATACACAATGGTGTTTTATTATTATATACGCAATGGTGTTTTATTATTATATACGCAATGGTGTTTTACTATATACACAATTGTGATTTACTATTATGTACACGAAGGGGTTTTACTATATACACAATAGTGTTTTATTATTATATACACAATGGTGTTTTACTATATACACAAAAGTGTTTTACTTTTAATTACACAATGGAAATTTACTATATACACAATGTGTTTTTACTGAATACACAATAGTGTTTTACTATTATATACACAATAGTGTTTTACTTTTAATTACACAATGGAATTTTACTATATACACAATGGGTTTTTACTAAATACACAATAGTGTTTTACTATTATGTACACAATGGGGTTTTACTATATACACAATAATGTTTTACTATTATGTACACAATGGGGTTTTATTAAATACACAATAGTGTTTTACTATTAGATACACAATAGTGTTTTACTATATACACAATAGTGTTTTACTATATACACAATCATGTTTTACTATTATGTACACAATGTTTTTTTTTACTAAATACACAATAGTGTTTTACGTTTATGTACACAATGGGTTTTACTAAATACACAATAGTGTTTTACTATTAGATACACAATAGTGTTTTACTATTATATACACAATGGGGTTTTACTATATACACAATGGGGTTTTACTATATATACAATGGGGTTTTACTATATACATACTACTGTTGTTTGCGACTAGTGTGCACTAAATTTGTCAGAATTGAAGGCATGGTGAACTAACCCAGTGTTTGTATTTATATAAATATACTTAAAAAATGCTCGGTTTAGTTGTTGCTATTAGTTAAAACAATGGACAACGACTGATTTTGTTCAGTTACATTTACACTCCATTAGAATATTTCTTTAATTTTCACTAAAACATAATGTGGGTACCTGTATGTGTTTTTATATTTGTTTTGTGGTCTAATCAATTTATGTTTATTTATGTCGGCTTTGACTGTTTTGTTTTACCTTGTAGGTTGACGCTACCGTATTTGTTCTAGTTGGTTCTGAAACACACTGGTGGGGATGTTC